TACATGTGTGATTCACATGTGATATGTGTGTGATGCACATGTGTTACATGTGTGATACAGGTATGATACAGGTGTGTTACATGTGTGATTCACATGTGATACGTGTGTGTGATGCACGTGTGTTACATGTGTGATACAGGTATGATACAGGTGTGTTACATGTGTGATTCACATGTGATATGTGTGTGTGATGCACGTGTGTTACATGTGTGATACAGGGGTGATACATGTGTGTTACAGGTGTGATACATGTGTGATTCACATGTGATACATTGTGTGATGCACGTGTGTTATATGTGTGTTACACGTGTGATACAGGTGTGTTACAGGTGTGTTACATGGGTGATTCACATTACATGCATGGTACAGCTGTGATACAGGTGTGTTACGTACATGACGTGTACATGGTACATATGTGTTACATGTGTGTTACACGTGTTACGTGGTGTGTTACATGATGCATATGTGTTACATGTGTGATACAGGTGTAGTTACATGTGTGCTACATATATGAGTTACATATGTGTGTTACATATGTGTGTTATGTGTTACATGTTATGTCATGCATGTCAAACACATCACATGTCACATCACACCCATCCCCTGTATCACACATGCGCCACATCTGTCTCACACATGAGTCACACAGATGGGGCACAGACACGGATCCTACATGGACATGGATGGGGCATGGACACGGATGGGACATGGACATGGATGGACATGGACATGGATGGACACAGATGGGGCATGGACACGGATGGGGCATGGACACGTATGGGGCATGGACACGGATGGACATGGACATGGATGGACATGGACATGGATGGGGCATGGATGGACATGGACACGGATGGACACGGATGGGACATGGACACGGATGGGACATGGACACGGATGGACATGGACATGGATGGGGCGTGGACACAGATGGACATGGACACGGACATGGACACAGAAGGGGCATGGACACGGATGGGACATGGACATGGATGGACATGGACATGGATGGGGCGTGGACACAGATGGACATGGACACGGATGGGACATGGACACGGATGGGGCATGGACACGGATGGACATGGACATGGATGGACATGGACATGGATGGGGCATGGATGGACATGGACACGGATGGACATGGACACGGATGGGACATGGACACGGATGGGACATGGACACGGATGGGGCATGGACACGGATGGGACATGGACACGGATGGGGCATGGACACGGATGGACATGGACACGGATGGACATGGACACGGATGGGACATGGACACGGATGGGACATGGACACGGATGGACATGGACACGGATGGACATGGACACGGATGGGCATGGACACGGATGGGCATGGACACGGATGGACATGGACATGGATGGGCATGGACACGGATGGACATGGACACGGATGGACATGGACATGGATGGATATGGACACGGATGGGCATGGACACGGATGGACATGGACACGGATGGGCATGGACACGGATGGACATGGACATGGATGGATATGGACACGGATGGACATGGACACGGATGGGCATGGACATGGATGGATATGGACACGGATGGGGCATGGACACGGATGGACATGGACACGGATGGACATGGACATGGATGGATATGGACACGGATGGACATGGACACGGATGGGCATGGACATGGATGGACATGGACACGGATGGGCATGGACACGGATGGACATGGACATGGATGGATATGGACACGGATGGACATGGACACGGATGGACATGGACACGGATGGGGCATGGACACGGATGGACATGGACACGGATGGGGCATGGACATGGATGGACATGGACACGGATGGGCATGGACACGGATGGACATGGACATGGATGGATATGGACACGGATGGACATGGACACGGATGGGCATGGACACGGATGGACATGGACACGGATGGGCATGGACACGGATGGACATGGACGGACATGGACAAGGATGGGCGTGAATGGACAGGGATGGACATGGATGTACATGGATGGACACGGATGGACACGGATGGACATGGATGGACACGGATGGGACATGGATGGACACGGATGGGACACGGATGGACACGGATGGACATGGATGGACACAGATGGGACATGGATGGACACGGATGGACACGGATGGACACAGATGGCCCCGGATGGACACGGATGGACATGGATGGACACAGATGGGACATGGATGGACACGGATGGACACGGATGGACATGGATGGACACGGATGGGACACGGATGGCCCCGGATGGACACGGATGGGACACGGATGGACATGGATGGACACGGATGGACATGGATGGACACGGATGGACACGGATGGACACGGATGGACACGGATGGCCCCGGATGGACACAGAAGGACACGGATGGGACACGGATGGACACAGATGGACACAGATGGACACGGATGGACACGGATGGACACGGATGGACACGACATGGATGGGACACGGATGGACACGGATGGACATGGATGGCCACTGATGGAACACGGATGGACACGGATGGACACGGATGGACATGGATGGACACGGATGGACATGGATGGCCACTGATGGAACACGGATGGACACGGATGGCCCCGGATGGACACAGATGGACACGGATGGACACGGATGGGACACGGATGGACACGGATGGACATGGATGGCCACTGATGGAACACGGATGGACACGGATGGACACGGATGGGACATGGATGGACACGGATGGACACGGATGGGGCACAGATGGACACAGAAGGACACGGATGGCCCCGGTTGCCGGTACCTCGGGCCGGTGCAGCAGGAAGGCGATGGCCCAGGCCAGGGCGGCCGCCGTGGTCTCGGTGCCGCCGATGAAGAGGTCCACGAGCGCCATGTGCAGGCGGGGGGCGCTCAGGGGGGGGCCCGGCCGCGAGGGGTCCCGCAGGGCCCCCAGCACCGTGTCCCGGGGGGGGGATGGGCACTCCTGGGGGGGGCGGGGGGGCACAGTGGGGCCAATGGGTGCCAAGGGCAATGGGGGCCCCCCATGGACATTGGGTCCTCCCCCCCCCCATGGACATTGGGGTCCCCCCCATTGATATTGGGTCCCCCCATAGACATTGGGGTCCCCCCCATAGACATTGGGGTCCCCCCCCCATTGATATTGGGTCCTCCCCCATAGACATTGGGGTCACCCCCATGGACATTGGGTCCTCCCCCATACACATTGGGTCCCCCCATAGACATTGGGGTCCCCCCCATGGACATTGGGGTCCTCCCCCATAGACATTGGGGTCCCCCCCCATAGACATTGGGTCCTCCCCATGGACATTGGGGTCCCCCCCATGGACATTGGGGTCCTCCCCCATAGACATTGGGGTCCCCCCCCATAGACTTTGGGGTCCCCCCCCATAGACTTTGGGGTCCCCCCCATGGACATTGGGTCCCCCCCATGGACATTGGGGTCCCCCCCTCATACATTGGGTCCTCCCCCATTGACGTTGGGGTCCCCCCCATTGATATTGGGTCCTCCCCCATAGACATTGGGGTCCACCCCATAGACATTGGGGTCTCCCCCATGGACATTGGGGTTCTCCCATAGACATTGGGGTCCCCCCCCCTGGACATTGGGGTCCCCCCATGGACATTGGGGTCCCCCCCCATTGACATTGGGGTCCCCCCCATAGACATTGGGTCCCCCCCATGGACATTGGGGTCCCCCCCATAGACATTGGGGTCCTCCCCATGGACATTGGGGTCCCCCCCCATAGACATTGGGTCCCCCCCATGGACATTGGGGTCCTCCCCCATAGACATTGGGTCCCCCCCCCACCTCGTGCTTCCGGATCTGGGCCTCCACGAATGCATCCCGCAGCTCCACGAGCTCCAGAAGCTTCCGCAGCCCCGGGTGGGGCAGGGCCTGAGGGGGGACCCAGAGGGGGAGACCCGGACCCATAGAGACACATAGGGACCCACAGAGACCCATAGAGACCCATAGAGACCCGAACGGGACCCATAGGGACCCACAGAGACCCATAGAGACCCATAGAGACCCGAACGGGACCCATAGGGACCCACAGAGACCCATAGAGACCCGAACGGGACCCATAGAGACACCCTGGGACGCATAGAGATCCCCCCAGGCCCACATTCCCCCCAGCCCCACAAATCCCAAGCCCCACATCTCCCCCAGCCCCACAGATCCCCCCAGCCCCATAGATCCCTCCGAGCCCCATAGATCCCCCCAGCCCCACATCCCCCCCAGCCCCATAGATCCCTCCCAGCCCCATAGATCCCCCCAGCCCCATTGACCCCCCCCAGCCCCATAGACCCCCCCAGCCCCATAGATCCCCCCAGCCCCATAGATTCCCCAAGCCCCATAGATTCTCCTGAGCCCCATAGATCCCTCCAGCCCCACAGATCCCCGCCAGCCCTTTAGACCCTCCAGCCCCACATCCTCCCCAGCCCCACCCCCCTCCTCAACCATCCCCATAGATCCCCCCAGCCCCACAGATCCCCCCCAGCCCTTTAGACCCTCCAGCCCCACAGATCCTCCCCAGCCTCACATCCTCCCCAGCCCCACCCCCCCAACCAGCCCCACAGATCCCCCCCAGCCCTTTAGACCCTCCATCCCCACAGATCCCCCCCAGCCCCACATCCTCCCCAGCCCCACCCCCCCTCCTCAACCAGCCCCATAGATCCCCCCAGCCCCATAGGTTCCCCCAGCCCCACAGATCCCCCCCAGCCCTTTAGATCCTCCAGCCCCACATCCTCCCCAGCCCCCCTCCCCAACCAGCCCCATAGATCCCCCCAGCCCCATAGATCCCCCCAGCCCCACATCCTCCCCAGCCCCCCTCCCCAACCAGCCCCATAGATTCCCCAAGCCCCATAGATCCTCCTCAGCCCCATAGATCCCCACATCCCCATAGATCCCCCCAGCCCCACAGATCCCCCCCAGCCCTTTAGATCCTCCAGCCCCACATCCTCCCCAGCCCCCCTCCCCAACCAGCCCCATAGATTCCGAGCCCCATGGATCCTCCCCAGCCCCATAGATCCCCCCAGCCCCACAGATCCCCCCCAGCCCTTTAGATCCTCCAGCCCCACATCCTCCCCAGCCCCACATCCCCCCCCCCAGCCCTTTAGACCCCCTATCCCCATAGATCCCTCCAGCCCCACAGATCCCTCCAGTCCCACAGATCCTCCCCAGCCCTTTAGACCCTCCAGCCCCACATCCTCCCCAGTTCCCCCCCTACCCGCCCCATAGATCCCCACATCCCCCACATCCCCATAGATCCCCCCAGCCCCACAGATCCCCCCCAGCCCTTTAGACCCTCCATCCCCACAGATCCTCCCCAGCCCCACATCCTCCCCAGTCCCCCCCCAACCAGCCCCATAGATCCCCCCAGCCCCACATCCTCCCCAGCCCCATAGATCCCCCCCAGCCCTATAGATCCTCCAGCCCCACATCCTCCCCAGCCCCACATCCCCCCCCCCAGCCCTTTAGACCCTCCATCCCCACATCCCCCCCCCCAGCCCCACACCCCCCCCCCAGCCCCATAGATCCTCCCCAGCCCCACAGATCCCCCCCAGCCCCATAGATCCCCCCAGCCCCATAGATCCTCCCCAGCCCCATAGATCCTCCTCAGCCCCATAGATCCTCCCCAGCCCCACAGATCCCCCCCAGCCCCATAGATCCCCCCAGCCCCACATCCTCCCCAGTCCCCCCCCAACCATCCCCATAGATCCCCCCATCCCCATAGATCCCCCCCAGCCCCACACCCCCCCCCAGCCCCACAGATCCCCTCCCCCCTCACCCTCAGCACGGGCACCACCTCCAGGGCCCGCAGCGAGCCCCTCCCCCACAGCTCCAGCAGCTCCAGGACGCAGCGGGTGAAGGCCCGGACCTGGGCCTGGGGGGGGAGCTGGGGGGGGAGGGGCAATGGGAGCCCCCAAACGCACCCCTCCCCCACCCCCATTTAGGGTCCCCTCCCCCAATGCTGGGTCCCCCCCAATGTTGCCCCCCCCCCCCCCCCTTTAGGGTCCCCTCCCCCATTTAGGGTCCCCCCCAATTTAGGGTCCCCCCCCAATTTAGGGTCCCCCCCCCAATGTTTGGGTCCCCTCCCCCATTTTTGGGTCCCCCCTATTTTGGGCCCCCCCCCCCAATTTTGGGTCCCCCCCAATGTTGCCCCCCCCCCCTTTAGGGTCCCCTCCCCCATTTAGGGTCCCCCCCAATTTAGGGTCCCCCCCCAATTTTGGGTCCCCCCAATTTTGGGTCCCCCCCATTTTGGGTCCCCCCCAATTTAGGGGTCCCCCCCAATTTAGGGTCCCCCCCCAATGTTGGGTCCCCCCCAATGTTGGGTTCCCCCCCCAATGTTGTGGGTCCCCCCCCATTTAGGGTCCCCCCCATTTGGGGTCCCCCGCCATTTAGGGCCCCCCCCAATTTTTGGGCCCCCCCCCAATGTTGGGTCCACCTCCAATGTTGGGTCCCCCCCAGTGTTTGGTTCCCCCCCAATTTAGGTTCCCCCCCAATGTTGGGTCCCCCCTATTTAGG